TCCAGAGACAAAAACCAGATCCAGCGTGTTTCCCCCCCCGTGTGGGTAGGGCCATGAATTAACTGGGTCAGGTCCATGGCTGTCATGGAAGCCATGAACTCCCGAGCCACCTCAGATGCCTCATCAACGGACGGCAAGTTGAAATCCCCCATGACCATAAGCCTAGGGGTCTCAACCGCCACCGTGGCGATGACACTGAGTAGCTCGGGCAGGGCTGCTGCCACATGGCAGGGAGCCAGGTACGTGATCAGCAAACCCATCTGAACCCCGTGGCCCCATTTCACAAGGAGGGATTCACAGCCGGCCGTCTGAGGAACAGTGGCCTCCCTCGGTCTCAGACCTTCGTTAATAATAACCACTACCCCCCCGCCCCTACCCTGCAACCTCGGCTGATGGAATGCGCGGAAACCTGGTGGGCACATTTCAACAAGAGGGACCCCCCGCTCTTGGCCCAACCAGGTTTCCGTAATACCTGCCAGGTCCGCTCCCCCCTCCTGATTGTCCTTATTGCTAAGCATATTTTATTGAATGTGTCAACTGATTGATTCTAGTCCAAACATTTTTCTATCTTAGTAATCTATTTGCCATATATAAATGTTTATCTCTCCTTTTATTTACCCAACAGATCATGATGAGCAAGGTCTGTGTATCTCAGAGGTGGGTTTCAACAGGTTCTGACCAGTTCTGGAAAACCGGTAGCAGAAATTTTGAGTAGTTCGGAGAACTGGTAGTAAAAATTCTGACTGGCCCCACCCCCATCCATTCTCTGCCTCCCGGGTCCTGGCTGATCGGTAGGAAATGGGGATTTTGCAGTAACCTTCCCCTGCCACGCCCACCAAGCCATGCCCACCAAGCCATGCCACGCCCACCAAGCCACACCCACAGAACTAGTAGTAAAAAAAATTGAAACCCACCACTGGTGTATATGCTCTCTGATTTCACAGTGGCCCTGTTTTGTTGGATAAATTCTGCTATTCTGACAACAAATAGTAAGAATAATAATAGAGGGTTTCTGGCTACACAAATCTAAATCTGTATAATTTTTTTCTTTCTTCCCTTTCTCTCTCCCTCCCTCCCTCCCTCTCTCTTTCTAGCATGTAAGACACCAAAGACAGCTGCTGACTGTGACCGTGAAGGTGGCAAGTGCAGGTTTCTACGATGCCCATCAAATCTGAAAGCCATTGGAAAGTGTGATAATAAGAGTGATGTCTGCTGCAAAAAAAAGTAATTTAATTTGATTTTATAATAACTGTTTACTCTGTCTGCTTCTTTTATTTATCCAAGGTCTCAGTAAAATCTACTTATAATTCATAAAATTATAGCAAAGAATTTCAGAGATACCTGTTTTCCTTACAAGTGCCCATAATAGCTATGAAGTTTGAGATCATAATACAACAATATATGGAATGCCTTAGATTCTCCTGTCCGGCTGTAAATAAATTGAGGTGGCATGTTCTTTTGCCTGTAGCAGCTGTTTAGTCACAGCAATAAGGATTGAGTTGAGACTGATGGTAAAATAGGCCACTTATTCATAAATAAAGTGTCTACCATTAAAGCTTTAGTGTATTGATGGTTGAAGTCTACAGTATGCATCTAGTTGCTCCATCTATCCCTTGATTTTGGCACTGAATGGCAGCACTTAACTATTAAATGCTCTTATTGGTAACTACGGTTCATTATCTTCTGAGGCTAAACAGAGAAACCAAATTGCACAAATCTCTTTGGCAAAGTGAATCAAATGCAGAGGCAAACCTAAACCAAATTCTGATCTCATCCGGGGAAAAGATTCGCTTCAAAATTCTTCAATTTTTCAGTTTCAATGATCCTGTAATTCAAATTTAGGGATTCTCGGTTTGAGTAACAATTATGCTTTGCACTCAAATCACCACTAAGTCTAAATCTTTGATAAACATGAATACTACAGTATAAAGATAGATCTAGAATAGAGGAGAAGAATCTCTAGAAGAGAAGCTTGGATGTATGTTAATGGAGATTCTCAGTCATCCAGGTCATGGTTGTCCTAAAGGTGCTTTTTTTCAAATGGCAACTGGACTTTATTTTTCCATTTTCTGGATGTAGTTTCTTTCCTAAATCCTTACACAAAAAGATTAAGAATGGGGAAAAAAATATGTAGCACTTTACTTGCATTAATAAACTATCTCTGAAAACTTACCGAGCTGTCTTAAATATAGAGAAAGGAAGATACACTCCATTGATATAATTTAAGTAATTTAATTTTGGGTAGAAAGGTCTGTTCGGGGGGGGGGTTAATTATGAATTTGAGAGTATTTCTTCTATATTTCATTTACTTGAATTAATATGTATACATATATGTGTTTCTAAATTATGTACCAAATGAAAAGTTTTAATGTGATTATTCTGTTTTGCTCTTTGTGCAGATAAAATCATACCATTGGCTACTCGTGATGGATTCCCCGGCTTGAACATTCATTGAAATTCTTTTTTTTTTTGCTTGATCTGCAATGCAAAGTTCCTTTCCTACATTTCCAATACCATGTCATTTTTATAGCTGATTTATCTTGTGCTTGTTCTTTAAGCAAATAAAAATCTCTTGCATTGAACACTGAGCTTCTACAGTCTTGTAGTGTTTGGGGGGACGAATTTGATAGTATGCCTCTCGTGTGTGTGTGTGTGTGTAATCATGATGTAGTTGGCAAAATTGGATAGTAGATACTGTTGGACTATAACAGTGATGGCAAAGCTTTATGGCACTGAGTGCCGAAAAGGAAGCATGTGTGCATGCTTGTCAGAGCTGCAACCCAGAAGAGGAGCTGCCCAGGGGTTTCCGGTGCACGCATGCACACCAGCCAGGTACTCTTCAGGTTACTGGCGCAACGATCAGCTGGCCGGCATGCATGCTCACACTAGAAAACAGAAGACCAGCTCTTCCAGTTTCCAGCACTGCCACACGCATGAAAGACAGCTGATTGTCACACGTGCATGAGCGCCAGAAATCCAGAAAAGAACGGGCGATGCCACGCGTGCCAGGCAACATGGCTCCGTGTGCTACTTTGGGCACGTGTGCCATAGGTTCACCATCATGGTACTATAACAACAGGTCATGGCCCTCTGGCAAAGTGTTGTGAGATTAGATTAGGTTCGTCAACAGTTCTGCTGTTTTTATATTGGCAGCCCCTGCTTACAGCCACTCATCTCTGGTCACTGCAATGTGTTCTACATTGGGCTGCCATTGAAGAGTATCTATAACAAGGGTAACTCACAGTGTCATGTTGCCATGATGTGATGTTTCACAATGTTTTTCCCCTTTGCGGAGCTGGGTTGGGCGTGGCCTGCATGTGATGCATCTGGCCCGCTGCCACTCCTGATCTTTAAGCTTTAGCTGGTACAGAATAAATCAGTGTGAGCAGTTATATGTGCTTCTAGAACAACATGTTATACTCAGTTCCACAAGGTGCATTGGTGGTCAGTTCGCTTCTGGGTCTAATTTAAGGTGCTAAAGGATCTAACATCTCCCCATGTCATTCATGGCATGGGACCAGGCAGCCTGAGGTACTGCCTCTCTCTGGTTACACCAGGGAGATGTAAAACATAAAACACCACTTTAACTTGTGCTGAAACTAATCTTACCTTGCAGCTCTGGCATTCTGCTTTGATTGGGTGATCTTTAAAGGGAGACCCAATAGAATGCCTTGTTGTAATCCACTTGAGATAATGAGGACATATGTGACTGTTGGCAGGATCTCCCATTCCAAAAAGGGACATAAACAGCGCACCAGTCAAAACTGGGAAAAGGCACTCTTTCATCACATCTTAATTTCACTAAACCCATGCATTTATTCATACACTGTCTTTCATTTTTTAAACTTCTCTTTTTGAGGATATCTATCTCTCCCTCCAGTCACAACTTTTTGACTTGACTCTTTTCTCCTAACTATATATTGTCAATTGATTGTGTTATTTGCCTTGGTGGCGCAGCAGACTAAAGTGTGTTAAGTAGCACCAGCTGCCTGCAATTACTGCAAGTTCAAATCTCACCAGGCTCAAGGTTGACTCAGCCTTCCATCCTTTCAAGGTAGGTAAAATGAGGACCTGGATTGTCAGGGCAACAAGCTGACTTTGTATAAAAAGTACACCGCTTAGGGGGGCCCGAAAGCCCTACTAAGCAGGTATATACAAAAGTATGAAGGCTATTGCTTAACACATTGTAAGCCGCCCTGAGTCTCCAGAGAAAGGGCAGCATATAAATCGAACCAATAAATAAATAAATAAATAAATAAATAAATAAATAAATAAATAAATAAATAAATAAATAAAAAATAAATAAATAAATAAATAGATAAATAAATATTTGTCATGCTATCTGCAATATTTCTGATTTCTTTACACTCCCTATAACTTTCTGCCATATTATCTGGATTTCCTGTGCTGTTCTCTCTTTATTCTGTTCCTTCTCTACCAATTGACCATACTCAACCATATTTTGGATGGTTCCTCTTCATTTATAGGGACTTGGGTGCTATCCAAGAAAGATTCTTGTAATGATCTAGACAACCTTGATAAGTTTAAACAACTAGTGCAAAGTAAATGAAATGAATTAAGGCAGAAATAATATTAAAATTCTACATTTAGACTGAAAGGATCCTGTGTACAAATATAGACGAACAAAGTTCTTGAATGGAAGAGAGAATAAGACTTTCCTCCTCTCAGGGGCCCTTACTTGAAGATGATTACTTCTATTATATAAAGTCAGCCATTTTTGTCACTGTTGTATAGAGGGGAGGAAATTATGGCTAATCCAACCATTCCTCTTCCCAATAGCCGTACCAATAGGAACAGAGTTCTGATATTGCTTGAAGAGACCATCTGATTACTGGAGAAAGGATGGAGTGAGAGGTGACAGAATAGCTCTGTTTGCCTTTCTTTCATCTGTTATGGAACTATTGTAATGGCTGCTGCTAAGTGATAATTGAGGAAAATTCTAAGGCTGCTGTCACATAGCAACAGAACAGCCCTTTTTCTTTGGTATTCACTTCCTGGGTGAATAACAGGAAGGAGGGAAGTGAAGATTGAGGGACTCTTAATCACTTCTTCATTGCTTATGGTATGTAGGGTTTTGATTAAGGCTCAGAGTGAAAATGATTCCAGGTAGCCATAGTGAAGTGTTGTTTAACTTTTCTTCTAATATCTTTTCTCTCATAGAAAAGAGAAACTTGTGAACTTGCTTTTGGAGAGGGTTTGAAATCCTTGAAGGGGCTGACTCACACAAAGAAACAAATGGTGGTGCTCTTTATGCATCCATTATGAACCAGTGACACAGTGAGTAGGAAGCAACATTTGGGAAGCATTTTCTTTATTGTTTTGGAAAGTTTGGGGAGATGTTAGATCCTTCAAATGTTTCTGGAGTTATAAAGACCACAAAATTGCTTATGGAAAGAAGCAAGTAGTCAGTAAGCAATAGTTCCCCCTTTTTTGTGCTTGATTTCACTTGGTGTGGTAGCAGGGGAGAGTTCAAGCCCAAAGCCCCTCCTTCATGAAGGACCTCAGGGCACTGTGAGCCAATGACTGTTGTAGCCAAGGAACATTTTGTAAATATCATGTCAGTTAAATCCTTTCTTGGACTGAGAAACTGTTCTAATGATCACTTATGCCTTTAATCAGTTCACATTTGGACTTCTGCAATGTTAGTTTAGATGGAGGAGTCTATAAGGGCCAGAAGTTAGAATCGGTATAAAATGTATCAGGCCAAGTAATGATAGTGTTACCAGTTGGCTTCCAGGTGCAGTTCAAGGTGCTCGTTACTAATTATAAAATGCTAATGGCTTGAGGATTAAATCTGAGGGATTACTTTTCTCCAGTTATGTCTGCCTATTTATTAGATCTGGTAGAATTGGCATGCACCAATCAATGTCATCTCCTGAGACCTTAGACACATGATTTTTCCATGGTCATCCCTGCATTCCTTGAGAAGTAATAGAGTATAAAGGAAATGGACATGGAAGCGCTTCTACCAATGAAACAATCATATAAAAAATCAGGGTAAAATGTAATATATGCCTCAGGTAAGCCCCTCACACAAAGATAAAGGAAGGAAACAGGGAAGCAAATTCATGCTTGCAAAATTCTGTTATTATGGGTTCACAATAAAAGTAGAACTGATCTGTGTGGCATTGGTTTCCTACTGTTATCTATGTTATTGAGTCCACAGAAGTCCACACAGTCCCAACTCTAGTACTAGTTAATGGTCCTTTAAAATGTGGGTTTTTCATCAAAGCCTGGGGCCGGCTATTTTATAAGATCACATTATATCATTTTTCATAGTTTCAACTCTTGGTGTTTATTGTGTTTTCTACCTTGACATCGTTAATACAGTATGCTGTGCTTGTCATTGCTTTCTGTTAAACCTTTATTCTATGGCTTTTAATGTATTATGTTAGCTACAGTTATTCTGGTGACTGAGGCAGTGTACAATTATATATATTCTATAAATATATAAATATAAAAATCTCTGCGATAAGTTTAACTTTTGCAAATGTATGTATTGTTAAGAGTACAAAAATAGATCCATGTTTTATCATTGCCTTTGGAGGGCTTCTTGTTTTAATCTTTCAGTCCATTTTATATTGACTATTTCCTAGTGATTCTCTTTAGCTTCTGGGCCCTGGCAAGGAAGTACCACAGCCAAGTAGTACTTCTGTGCAAAATTAAACATAGTTATATAAAAATCTGCATTTTTCTGAATTTTATATGATATTTTTCTATCACCAATGAACCAAAAATATCTTAGCATATTAATTTAGGGGCTACTGCTTGCAAAAGAAAAACTGGACATCACTCAGTGATATATTTTTTTATCTTTTCCCTTTTACCAGTGTCAGAATCCTACATGCTTTATTATGAAGATCCTTTACCTTACATGTGTGTTCTTCTGCATAGCCTTTTTGTTTACTCCAGGTAAAAAAAAAGTTTAATTAATCAACCATAAACAAAAATAGGTGAACTTTTAAATAGTAGAGTGGTAGTCCATATTCCTGACTTTTCTCCTTTTTAAAAAATTGGAGCAAAACCACACAAATGCAAAATAAGAATTAAGCAGTTCTGCCATTTCCCTGTTGTCCACTATTTTACTATCTCTTTGTGTATCTCCCTCTCTCTTTCTCTCTCTTCCTCTCTCTCTTCCTCTGTGTGTGTGTGTGAGAGAGAGAGAGAGAGGGAGAGAGAGAGAGGGAGGGAGGGAGGGAGGAAGAGAGAGGAAGACACACAAAGAGACAGTAAAATAGATTAGCATTTATTGCAAGTCTCAGCTCATTCTGAACCTAAATCAGGAGCGTCAAACTGGCGGCCCACAGGCCGGATGTGTCAGGTGCAGGCCACATGCACCCCAACTCCTCAAAGGGAAAAAAGGTTGCAATACGTCATGTGACAGCAACATGACATGGTGAGTTTAACACCTGTGCCCTAAATCTTCTTGATTAAATCCTTACACATTTGGGCTTGGGCGATTCCCTGCTGTTCTGCTTTTGTTACACGGCCTTTTCATTTTTTAAACCTTGTCTTTGTTTTGTCAGTATTCTTTCTTATACTCCTACCAGTTTCATTAAGGCTCTCCCATTTTTCTTTCTTTTTGCAGTCTTCTCTTATTTTTCAGAATTTCTTACCTCTCATCTTCCTCCCTCCTCACTACAGATTCACTTTAAAGGCCATCAGATTACCCACACAAGACATTTTCCAACCACATTCTTCCCAGTGTTTGTGAGGTACATTCAACTTTTCACCATGTACTTCTTGTTCATAAAATAGACCATATAGTCGAGGAATACAAAGTGTTCTTGATGATGCCATTTTTTGAGCCAACAGTTCCCTGTCAAAATTCTCTGTTCTTTCTTGGTTGTAAATACAAAAGAAAGAGATAGTTGTTACTAGTTTTCATCCCCCCCTCCCCCATCATGTATTGGATCTTTCTACCTGAGACATCAGAGATCCCTTAATACCATGTCCAGTCTGCTTGATTGCCAACTCCATGATAAAACTCTTTTGACTGGCCATCTAGCAAACTTCAGATACATTTTGGAATCTTTATGATTTATATAAACCTTCAATCCCAAGTGATAAGGCTTTAATTCTATATTATTTTCCTCTTTATAAAAATTATCTTGATCAATGTTCTCCAACTGATACTATCTGAATATACTGAACTGAGACAGAGCGACAATTGGAAATGATTGGCCCAAGGCTTGGGAAAACATGTTATAGACCAAGTTTCCAAATAATTATTGTTATATAGATTTTCTTCCTTTTTCTTAATATAGTCACTATTCCTGACTTCTTTCCTTCCTGATTTCTCACTAAATATTCAAGAAATATTTCATTTGGCCTTTCAGTAACTTCTGTTTTAAACTGTCCTTTCTCCCATTACTTACTGTATTTACTCTTTCCTCATTCATTCTGCTGCATATGGCTAATTCTGACCAATTCTCTTTTGTTTTTTTAGGAATTGGAAATACAATTAAAACAGAAAAAGAATGTCATGCTGCTGAAGGCTATTGCAAGATGGGGGAATGTTTATATCCTAAATTTAAGCTCATTGGATTCTGTAGGAAAGTTTTTTATTGCTGTAAAAAGAATGTACACAGGTACAATACTAGGTATGTTACTGTTCACCAGAACATGGAAATGAATGGAATTTATACATACATTCTTGATAGTGCAGGAACAGGCAATAATGATGATGAAGATAATAATAATAGAAACGTTTAAAACCTGCTCAAGTATACATATACTTGGCCCATATATCTGAACTTCGCTGAAAGAGAAATATCCCTCTTACATTTTGATCAAAATGGTATTTACTGAAGCTGGGGTGGGGGTGGGGTAGGGGGAAGATTAGATAAGATAAACTTTCCAGTCTGTTCTTTTATTTAAAAAATGCAGTTGAAGAACAAGATTTTTTTTAAAAAAGAAATTATCCATTTTCATTTGCACCTTTCTCCAATACAGGGATTTGAGAGAAAGAATGGTGGGAATGCATGTAGGTGGCAATGGGAAAACTGAGCAGACAGGACTATGAATGAGGAAAATGCCAAGGTTGTAGGAGGACAGAGAAAGTGATGGGATTGAAATTAGGATGAAAGAACAGATATTAAAGAACATCAGCATCTTATGAGTTTAAGGAACTAGAAGATTTGGCTTCTTCATTTGTTGGCATAAAGCAAATTTTATGTACAGTGTTCTTATGTGAATGTGAAAACTAACTTTTTGGGAAAAGGTATAAGTCAGTCGATATCTTGCATCTTAAAAGTAAAAGCAAGTTTAATTTTTGGCTGCCACTATAAAATTATATAGAAAATGGTATATGTTTGCATTTTAACCATTTAGTTTAAATGAACTATATACATAGTTGCAAATGAACAGAAATATGTAGATTAAATTCTGGTTAATGCTATAATTCAGTCTTTCCTAGTCCAATACATATCAGATTACCTCAATGAATTCTGTTATTTGCTATGTCAAGGATGATAGGACATGTAGGACAAGACATATGGATATTAGATTCATCTCCCTATATTAACCTTTATATGAGGGGAGAAAGAAAAAGAAAGAAAGAAAGAAAGAAAGAAAGAAAGAAAGAAAGGAAGGAAGGAAGGAAGGAAGGAAGGAAGGAAGGAAGGAAGGAAGGAAGGAAGGATATACAATGAAAAATTCCTAACTGAATTCCTTTTCTGTATGCAGGAATGACAAGAATTATAAATTAATGCACATGTGGTTGTGGAAGCATAAAAATGACATGCTTAGGGACAACTAGCTATGTGGAAGCAACTCAGAAGAGAGTATCATGCTTTAAAAAAATGGTAAGTCCTGTTGATAGTGGGTGGCATGACAAGTAACAGAGATATAGGGGAAAATGATATATGGATGCCAGCTTGAGTAAGCATGTCAGAACAACAAAATAGTGCCAAATTTTGCATTATTTAAAATAATAAAATGACAAGTGATATGTGATATGTGAGGTTATCTACTTCCTAAAACTATTTCCTTAGTTAAGTATCTTAATCATGGGTTTTATACACTAACCTATCCAGCCATTGCTACCAATGTAGATCACTATGATATTGCTTCAAAATTGGGCGAAAGTATTTCTCAAAGGAAAGGGGCTTCCAGCAAGACCTCTCAACAGGTCTTGACAATTCTCCATGGCCAACTCGCCACAGCCAACTCACTATAGGACAACTTGCCATAGCCAACTTGATATGAGCAACTTGCTGCCGGAAAAGAATTACGCTAGTATCAAAGACATGCCCAAGAGTGTGATAGGCAACAGGCTTTTAAGGGGCTGCCAGAAAGAGGGGGGGGGAATGTATTTTCCAAAGCACCAGAAGGCAAAACAAGAAGCAATGGATGGAAACTGAACAAGAGAGAAGCAACCTAAAACTAAGGAGAACCTTCCAGACAGTGAGAACAATTAACCAGTCGAACTGCTTCACTAGAAAGGCTTTCTTTTGCTCCAGAAGAAAATCAGAATAAAGAACTGGAAAAGCCTTCACAGGAAGGGGCTTTTTTGTTCCGCTGTGGAAGAAAAATAGAAGACAGAGAACTCTTCCCTAGAAGAGGCTCTCTGCTTTTGCTCCAGAGGAAGCAAAAGGCAGTTTCTTTTGAGGCAGTTTCTCAATTCAGGCAAGGTGGTTTTCAGCTTCCCAATATTGTAAGGAGGTGGTAATTGCTCTTGGCTGAATGCCCAGACATCTCATTAAAGCTAGTATTCTTTTCCCTGCTTGGAGGGGTGGGGGGAGGGAAAGCCGCAGAAAGTTTCCCTTTATTATTCTAGCTGAGGGCAAATGAGACTAGGACTCATTTGCTGTTTCTTAGCTCAGTTGAGGTGGCAATCACTCTGCCGCGCGAATCAGCTGAGCTAATAAACAACAGAATATAGGAGAGGTGAGAGAGGGGGAGGGCAAGTGGGCGGGGCCAATCAAAATTTTTCTTACCGGTTCTCCGAACCAGTCAAAATTTTCCCTACCCGGATGGCAGAACCGGTCCGAACTGGTAGCATTTCACCCCTGATAAAGAATTATATGAAGTCTTCTACTCTTCAGGATATAAAATTCAAGTTTAAGATGCTGCTTTTTCCTTATTTTTTTTTTTTTTTTTTTTACAAAATTTTGATTTCCATATTATCTCTTTCAGTGAACCTAAAATTAATGGTTGAATGCTTCAGCTCTGAGTCTGAATACCAAAAAAAAATAATTGGAACAGCAGCCAAGGCTAGATTCATTATCAGACCATCTGTTTGTCTCATTACTATTTCTAGTATTGCTGTCAAAGGCAAAAACTGAAAAATAAACACTGACATCTATAATAAACCAGTGATTTTATTGTATGTTTTTAATTTACCTTTATGATAATCACTTTCAATTTCTGAAATTGATCAGTTCATCTTTGAATTATTCTACACACAGGATTACAAAATTGACTTCAAGGGAAAGAATTTTTTAAAAATATTTTTAATTATCAGGTATAGACATTTGATATCTAAACATTTTATTCAGTTGGCACTTCATCAATAACTTTAACAGGAAAAAGCAAAATGTTTCACAGTCTAATCAAAAGGGACCACCCATTTCTAGAAGGGTCTGGATTACATGGAGTACCATAGTGTGTACAATTGTACAAATCCACTGGAGTCTTTGGAAGTGTTGAATTGTCATATTGATGCTATGGCAACAGCCTTTGAAGAATTTCAGTTTTGCATTTATTTAGTACAGCTTTCCCTAGATTGATGCCTTGATCAAGTTGATTCTCCAATCAGATATTTTAGAATTATAATTCCTAGAATTTCCAGCTATTATAATCCCTGAACATCTGGCAATTATAACAGTGAATAACTTTTTTACTATTAATCTGGAGACCTTGAGACAGATGCCTGTACAAGACTTCAACCTAGTTTTCATATCACATTAATCCATAGATTTGTTTAACAGTTGTTTACTGAATTTAACAGATTAAAAGAGTTGGAAGGGACCTTGTAGGTCATCTAGTCCAAACACCCCCCAAGCAGAAGATCCTACACCATTTCTCACAAATGGCAGTCCAGTCTCTTTTTGAAAGCCTCTAGTGATGAAGCTCCTACATCTTCCGAAGGCAAGCTGTTCCATTGGTTGATTCTTCTCACTGTCAGAAAATTTCTCTTTATTTCTAGGTTGAATCTCTCCTTGATCAGTTTCCATCCATTATTCCTTGTCTGGCCTTCAGGTGACTTGGAAAGTAGCTTGACCCCTTCCTCTCTATGGCAGCCCCTTAAATATTGGAACACTGCTATCATGTCTCCCCTGGTCCTTCTCTTCAGTAAACTAGCCATGCCCAGTTCCTGCAACTGTTCATCATATAAATAATATAAACAATAAACCACACATGGCTGATCACAGAGTATAGTAAAAAATACATTACAAACCACAATAGCTTGGTTGATATAACATATTAAGCAAAAATTCTCCAAATAATAATATAGCTGTGTGAATTATGATACACTGTAGATTACATGGAGCTGCTCTTGAAAATCATCCAGAAGCTGCAATTAGTCTAGAATACAGCAGAATAGAGGCAGTGATAGAACTGAAGGTCAGTAAGGTGACTGAAATTTTCTTTTTCAATTCCATTTTTATTGCATTGGAGGTAATGGAACTGTTGTTTTTAAGCCTTATTACAGGAACACAAGTGCTAGATAAAAATAATTGAGATTTTGAGTAGACACTGAAGATGCAATAGAAAAATAGAGGAATTCTCATCAAAAGTGAAAGCAAAATGAAAATAAAAAAAAATTAAAAAATATCACTTGAACATTAATACAGCAAATCATTGATTTTTGTATTTTTATGAAGATTATTGTCTGATCCTTAAATCTCTTTTGCAAAATTTCACACTGGGAGAAAATGGTTTACAACTTTAATGCAACAGTATTATACATAGAATCCAAAATATGGATTCATAAAGCCCTGAGCTAGGAATAGGGGGACTATGAGTTCTAGTTCCATCTTAGACAGAAAGCCAATTGCTTGTCCTTGGGCCAGTCATCTGTCTCAGTCCTAGAAAGAAGGCAAACCACTTCCAAAATCTTGCCAAGAAAACTTCAGAGACAATCCAGGGAGTTTCCAGGAATCAACAATGACTTGAAGGCATGCACACACACACAATAGATTCTACTTTCATCATAATAAATAGAGCACAGCCATAAGGCAACAACACATTATATAGACTCAAATTCACAAGAGAACAAGAAATTAATACTGGACATTCTCATCAACAGAGAAAATAATAACAGCCTGTAAACCCAAGACTATTTTATAGCAATCCACATGAACTATACCATTTATTTACATTTCTTATTATCACTCACTTGAGATGGGGAGGTTACAAACCTAAGTAAGCAATTAAAAGGTTTAAAACACAAAAGAACATGGATAATTTGGACTAAGCCCTTTATCCTGTTCCCATCCTCCCCATCTTTTAATTGGGCCACAGTGTTTGGCTTTCTGAATTCACTTATGGTTTTAGCTTATATAGTGTTTATCTTTTATGACTGTGGGCTGCCCAGAGTTACCTTTAGGTAAGATGGGAGAATAATGAATGAATGAAAGAAAGAAAGAAAGAAAGAAAGAAAGAAAGAAAGAAAGAAAGAAAGAAAGAAAGAAAATCATAACAATAACAATTAAACATGATAAGGGTCCCACAAACATACAAGTAGTTCTGTACTTACATACAAGTAGTTCTGGACTTATGACCACAATTGAGTCCAACAGTTATGTTGCTAAGTGAGACATTTGTTAAGTGAGTTTTGCCCCATTTAATGACCTTTCTTGCCACCATTGTTAAGTGAATCACTACGGTTGTTAAATTAGCAGCATGGTTGTTAAGTGAATCTGACTTTGCTTGTCAGAAGTTTGTAACTTTGAACGGTCACTAAATGGGCTGTTGTAAATCAAGAACTACCTGTACTACCCGCAAGCCTGGGCACATAACTACAGTAGGTCTTAAGAGCTTTATGGATTCCCAGGAAAGTGAGTCACCACCTATATCCCTGGGATGGAAGAGTGTTCTTACAGAGGCTGAGGTCAGCAACAGAGAAGGAATGCTTCCTCAGTATTGCAAGATGATAAAGATATAATTAATGGGTTCTGGAAGGCACACACATTGCCCAAGCATACTGGGTAGGCAGAAACAATTGGAGATAGGCAATATCTCAAATAAGCAGGCCTTATTGATTTAGATGAGCAAAAATGCATTGCAGTAACCCAGAACTTGAGAAAGCAGAAATAGATGAGCAATAAAACTTATCTTCCAATGCAATGAATTCCTATGTAACTTCATTAAAATGTGTCTAGCCATGTAACCTATCACAGTACAACCATTGCAACCCACAAAAAGTTTACTGTTCTATATATCCAAAACTTTTTAGAAACCTCCAACCTTGCATCACTGTATCACTATCACACTAACAAGATTCCTTCAAGTATATTAAACAAACCCACAGATCTAGTACAGAGAGACAAAACAGAAGTTATTTATAGCATCCAATGTAAGGACTATGAAAATCACTATGTGGGAGAAACAGGAAGAATATTGGCAAAACGTGTCCATGAATGTCAACTAGCAGTCAGAAAATAGGATGAAAATTATTTAATTACACAACACAGAGAAAGTTCAGTTACAATGTCAATTGAGAAATATATGTGCCTCTTAATTTCAGCTTGTCACTACAGACATTTTAGATCAAGCAAGGCATAATAAGGGAAAAGAGTGTGTAACCAGCCCTTCCTCTAAGGTACTTAGATTCTGAGGTTTCCTGAACTTTGGGTGACCAGCAAATTCGGTCTTTGCTGCCACCATCCTTTGTTACAAATTGGTTTCTCCATTCCACACCATCTGTTTGGGGAACCAACAGAGGATTAAAGAGGAAATTCTTACCACACTCTGGGTCTGGCTAAATACAGAAAGGGAAAACAAAGAAAAACTTGGGAGCCAATAGCCATCACCTTTCTCAGTTAGATCAGACAGGAATCATGACCAGATGAGCTGATTCTACTTTGCTGTAAAGCTTCATTAACAGAATGTTACAGATCCAATGCAGGTAGTCCTCGAGTTAAAACAATTCATTCGAAGTTACAAAGGGATATAATTAAAGTGACTTATGATTGTTTTTCACACTTATGACCATTGCAGCATCCCAATGGTCCCATGATCAAAAATTCAGATGCTTGGGAACTGATTCATACTTATGACAGTTGCATGTGATCACCTTCTGTGATCTTCTCACAAGCCACGTCAATGGGGAAGCCAGATTCACTTAACAACCATGGTACTAACTTAACATGTTTGTTAAGTTAGTATGTTAACAACTGTGGCAAGAAAAATCATAAAATGGGGCAAAACTCACTTAACAAATGTTTCGCTTAACAATAAAAATCTTGGGCTCAATGTGGTTGTAAGTCAAGGACTACCTGTAGTACAAATTTCCTGCCATCATTTTTACAGTCTGAAAAAATAGGAAGGTTACCTTCTGAGTTTCTTTCTTTGCCTATTATCCACCTGTGGGCTGTACCCTCTCTTATTTGAATGTTCCCTAAGCAGCATCCCCTCCTCACCCCACCTGTCTCCCAAGATCATTCCCATGTAGGATAGGAGCTATTACAGTAGCTCAGCCGAGATGAGTGATGGAAGCAACCATCCAGAACTGAAACAACAGCAACAAAAACTTTATTAAAAGTACCAAATGAACATACATTTACACACACACAATGCACTGTTTAAATCCAGAAAGTTATGATGTACCTTTTCTTGAACTGTTATTGTGATGAAGCACACATCTTCCTCTCTTGCCATTGGCTAACGTACCTATATTGAACAAGGAGAGAAAACAACCATTTACTCAATTAAAATTACTTTGTTACATGGGGGAACATTCCCATCCTCCCAATCACCTGAAGCAGCCCAACTACTCTATGCATTGATGACGTCATCTAATTTGGTAATGAAACTTCTACAACTAAGCTCAGAGAGCACCAAGGACTCCACTATTCTATTCTTTACACTCCTAATCAGCTATCAGGCACCCATATTTTAATCCACTGCATTCTATAAATAGAAGATTTTTTTACATAAAGCTCTTTTTGTGGCCAAAAAGATAAGCACTGTGTTATCTAATCAAGAAACACCTACAGTGATGGAATTGGAGAATCACATTATGAGGAATAACAGCTTCCAAGGAACAACAATTAAGTTAGAGAAGGACTTTCAGAAACTATACAAAAAGATTACTAGTTCTTTCACATTATAGTAGATAAAATAATGGTGGGTGGAAGAAGTACAT